CAGTCGGTGCCACCGGGATTTTCTGAGGCCTAACATTTCTGATCACGACTTCCTTTGGAAGGGAAGTAAAGCCGTTGGTCCCTGGTACATGAGTTGATGGGTCAATAGGTAGGGTCTAGATGTGAAGTCCATAAATGTTTCCAAAAGTTTTCGGAATTTCCTTTATGTTCCCGCAGTTTGTTTATGAAACTAACTTAAAATTCTTGCGATTTTCTTTCATTACCCATAACTACTTCAACATTCCTACAATTTTTGTGAAGTTAATGGAACCTCTAATCCGTCCTGATATTCAAGTGACTTTCCTGAAGCTCTCGCTATTCTCCTGATTATGTTCCTGGAGTTGCCATGAAATTAATGGCACTGCCATAAAGATCTCTAAACTTACGTGAATTTCTTGAATCTTCTATGAAGTTTCTGAAAATTTTCATAAGTTTACTGAACTTTCCTAAAGTTCTTTGAAGGTTTCCACTATTTTTCTGAAATTAATGGAACTGTCCTAAAGTTCTCGAAAGGTATCTAAAGTTCTCGGAACTTCCCCGAAGTTCCCGCAATTTTCCTGATATTCATGGAACTACACCACGGTTGACTGAGCAGTTTTCCTGAAGTAAATGGAACTGCCCTGAAGCTCGGTGGTCTTCACTGAGGTGAGTTTTCCTTCAATCTTTAGGGACTGTCCTGAAGCTATAGGTGCAACTTAGATGAAAGTGAAAACTGAACATGAGCATGAGCATGATTGACCGCCCAAGGATGCAACTCCGTTATTGTCAGGTCTGCTGTAATTACACAGAGAACCAATAGACGTAGCTTGGGACTAGCAATCATCCTGGTGATCTTAAACTAGGCAAAATCAGCGCCGGCCACGTCAGAATGCTGGTCAACAATGGGTAGGAATATGTCGATGTAATACGGAAGCAACAGTCTTCAATTGAGTGAATTCGGAGGTAGAGTTTAAGGTCATCTGCGTAAGATAATCGTGGTCCCTCAATTACCAGATTCACGTCGTTGAAATAAATCAGGAAAATCAGCGGTCCCAGGTGACTACCCTGGGGTATGCCGGAAGTGGCAGCGAACGTACGGGACTGGTGATCACTAATAACAACAGTAAGATAGCGATCGGTGAGGTACGACTGAAACCATTGCAAAAGGCAGCTGTGGATACCAAGCCTGCCACAGTTGACAGTCCTAGAGTCTGAGCAACTTGCGAAGGATGCCTTGATGGTGCAGGCGAATATTGGCTGGAAGCAATGAGCGGATCAGGAGTCGTTGAATCGATAACAGAAGTTGAGTTGCCTATGCTGTCGAGTTGGAAGACCCCTGTACTACTCCCACACGCAGGACCGGGACGACTGCTGAACGCTGGCTGGAATGGCTCGACTGTGGTGGCAGGTACAAGGGCTTCCATGAGGCCAACTTCGGTGCGTCCCAGTGTACAGCTGTCTAACTGTGGCTGATATGAAAAGCCAAATGGAACTGGCTGGACTGGCAAAGAGTTTGGATGAAGTTCGGTAGAGACAAGTGAAACATGTGTCAAAGAAGATGGCAATGACGAAACCGGCCATTCAGGAACAGGCTGGTTGACGAGCTCTGTGCAGCGATGGGATTTGTCACTTATTATGGCATGGCGTTGTCTTGGTGATCCGGGTAATTGGGTGACTCCATGCTGGGGGATAAATTGGCATTTGGCGTTCGAGAAGGGTTCCAAAAATTTGTAACATTCCTGTTGTCCTTGAACTCACGGAATAGTATTCCCTTTGGCCACGTTGCAGTCGAAAGAGCCTTTGCTTTCAGCTCAGGACTCATACCGAGTTTGAACGAAATGAATGACAGACTGCTGACATTCTTACCATTGGCGACTAGTCTGAATATCTCAACGTCATTTATTCCTAACCTCTGCATCGCCAGTTCACGTACTTGCTCCACTGTGACGTCACGAGAGATACGCGAAATGTAGAGCCAAAACTTCTGCCTTGGAGGTGGTACAGTAAAAGTGCCGATAGATGGAGATATTGAGCTTGCAGTTCCACACATCAAATCCTGTTGACGGCGTTCAGCAGCTTCAGGTTTACGGAACAATCGTCGGCTTCGCAAAGACCCAGCGGCATTCGTATTACTAGTTGATGCTTTTGGTGTAAGTGCACTGGAATTGATCAAAGCGGTGAAGTTCAGACGAAGTTCACTTTTGAGTTCATTCATGATTTCCGACTTAATTCTTTGAAAGATCTCATTATGATCGCCAAGGACATGTTCTTGCCCAGTCTCATAAGCGCCTCGAATGGAATTGCAGAAACGAATGTCATCCATTAATTTGGTACACGACCTGCACATCCAGAACAATTGCGAATTCCGCCTTGCAGAAGCCGCTGCATGAAATGGAATCGTCAATGACATCAGTAGCACAGGAGTGGCAAGTAGAAGTCATTTTCAGGATTGAAGTAATTCTCAGGATTTTATGCGATTGCCAAAGCAGCGCTACTACACAGTTTAAAGTAATGCGCCCAGAGTAGTATGCAACAACAGAGCAGGTAAGCTTGACGGCGAAAGTGCAATCTAACGGTAGAATCCAGGCGATAGCAATGCGCCAAAATGTTTGCAACAGTTTCACCACGAGCTCAACAAAAGCTCGCAAGGTTCAAAATTTGGATGGTAGATGGTGCTTCGGAAAAAATCGCGTGGCGTTTGCTTAGGAAAGTGTTTGTAAACAATGTTCAAAATGCTTCATTTTCCCTTTAAACCAGCACCACGAAAACACAACACACCGAAAGAAATTCACGGCACTTGAATGCAGTAGCACATAAACCGACGATCGAACGATGAAGGCATAATTTATAACCGTAATAACAACATAAACAAGTGCAAGTAATTAACGACCAAACGCAGCGGTATACGTAGCTAACAGTGTTGCCAAGTTCTAATCCACAAGAAATCACTGGGATGTTGGATAAAAGGGTTGGGATTACAGCGGAATTCGTTTTGGTAAACGATATGCTGAATTGATGCCCTAACGATTCAATAGCACGAAGAAGCTTGGGTTTGAACCCACGGTCTTCTGCTCAGCAAGCAAAATCGGTCGCCACTAGGCCACCGAGCTCCTTATATCACAAAACAATTACGATCAAGTTATCGTTCAACTTGCTGTTACAAGGTTTCGATCCCGTCGGCAAAACGTCCTTCCTAGGGGCAGAGTGAATATATTTGAACCGATTAAAATAGAGTTACTCTATATTACTCAAAGTTGATCTAAGGAGTCTAAAAATAATCGCCAGGATCTTCAAAAAATTTTAGAGGAAAGTAGCAACAAGTTGTGATGTGTCAGCGATAGATTATCTGGTTCTTGATTATTATACAAATTATACATTTTATTACTATCCAACGAACAATTTTAGCTACAGGCAAAAATCAGCTGCACAAACCCCTTTGTCCCGTTAAAAGTCATTCTGCAACTAAAATTATTAATTGGGTGAACCATGGCGTAATACGCTATATAAATTGTAATCTCAGCTCGTTATAATCTTCCGCTGTGTAATTATTGATAGTAGATGATGCGATATTCCAAATCAGATTAATGAGGTGAAGCAAATGCTCTAAACTTAAGGGACAATTTCAATTATGGGTCTTATTATGTAATTCGAGTCGATCGTCACTTATTGTCACTAGTCTAGTTTGGTAGTACTTCGGTGATACCAAAATAGACCAGTTACCATAAGTGAAGATCTTCATATTTAAATTTTGATTTCTTTCCCGACTGTTTGTTATTTTCACTTCTGATTGATAATGGCTTACCGATAAAGGAGCTGGAAGAATCAATTGAATTATTTCTATGCCACCTTAACGTAATCAATATTATTTCATTGTATTTCAAGACACCCATCAACTGTTCCATCAAGATCGTCTATAATATACAAATTTTTGTTTCTTTAAAACTGTTAACTAACACTATATTTAATTTAAGAGCAGATCAATTTCGATTATTCATTCGTACTAACAGTTTTATATTCGTTTGCAAGACACTTTAAGCATAACCACAAAAATCAGGTTTCTGAGTTAATGCGTGTATTGAATAGCTCAAAATTTGCTCAAAAATCAAAAGCTGTCTTACCCCTAGCGCCTTTCCTAAAATATTATTTCTTTACGTAGATTACTCAGAAAACAAAATCGGTCGCCACAAGGACACCGAGCTTCTTGTTAATCAATTGCGACCAAGTTCAACTTGCTGTTACTAGATTTCGATCCCGGCGGCGACCTCACCGACGACGACAACAGTTACTCATCAGAAAGGTTTGTAATAGATTTCCAATCAACACGTCTTTCCTAAAACTCGAACATTATTCATTTTACCTCCTCCAACCGAATTGCAATACGTTTTATCTCATATTAAGAAACAAATCCGATTTACACCAAAACTCTATAATGTTAGGAGCTTGATATTGAACACGTAATTTTCTGCTCAGAAAGCAGTACTATGGCGGCCGAATATTCGGTACTACTAATAATAATATGTAATTGATCGAAAACGATTTTATTTCGAATGTTTGGTCGTAAACAGCACTTTATTCCTAAATCTACCCGGAAGCATGCTCCTTCTCATAAATCTTATCCAAACTTAACCACAATTTATAACCGCAGCTCTATTAGATTTTGAAAGTGTAACCCCAAAATACATCCTACTAAGAGGTCTATTCTGCATCAAAATGTACCCCTCCTGCTGACGGTCCGTAAGAACGCACGTCAATCATAAATTTCACCGGGCACTGGCAGCATCACATGTGTAGGTATGTGCGACCGTCAGATTGTACCCTGCAAGGCATGATTTCTCATTTTCCTTAATCAAACTTAATTTCGTGTGCCTCCTTGTCTTTGTCGTTCCTTGGCCTCCACAGCGCAGGGTTCTCGTCTTCCGAAAGAGTTCTAAATTATTCACCTCTTGCGAGAGCGAAAATGGTCACCCAGGGGGAAGCCCCAATGTCAAATTGCATGTTTCCATAAGCCGTTGAGCAACTTACGTTTATGATTTTTAATAAGCTGAAGCCTGTCGATGCACGCTGAGCGCTATCCTTGCTTCCGGTGGTCCGCTGGGGTTGGTTAGCTTCTTTTCTTCAATCACCCATCAAACTCACTTATCGCAAGATATACAACCAATAACAGGGCACTGGTTCCCCCGCACTTTATCGCACTATCTTCAATGCTTCCACGCTGAATCACTTCCCACAGCCAATCGATGATGGCGATAACTTAATAAATCTGATTCTTTGCACTTAGAAAACCAACCGGGCGCTTCCTGTCCTTTGTGGCACCACAATTACCCAACGGATTCAGGATAGTCGTTCTTCACTCAACCCAAATCGCACCGAGCACCGGCCGTGGGGAATTACTCTAAGAACACGCGCGCACACACACCACACGCACTATTTCGGGAAGATCCTGTCGGGAGCACGTTGGAGCAACAAATGGTTGCACCTGAAGACAATGTTGAACCTTTTATATCGTCGGTTCGAGTCTGTCGGTCCAGCAGTAACAGGCGCTGCGATATGCTGCGCGCTCTCTTCACCCAGCAGGCGATGATGATGATTATGGTGATAGTGATGATGATGGAAGCACAGCAACATCGTTGTTAGGTTGGGAGTTCTCGTTTTTTGGGAGGAAAAGTACAACACCGAACTGATCGTAGTTGGACCGAAACAGGGGTTTCCCTAAATTGCCAACCTCTCGGCTTCTGCCTGAGTCAAAGGGAGAGCAAAGTCGTTGCTTTATCATTGACGGGGTGGGAAATGCAACGCGGTTATCGGGAAGATTTGTTGGGTGGCGTCACTGGTGTTTGCTGTAGCTTTGGTTTAAATGGGGGTGTTATTTTCCTTCGTAGAGTTGTGGGGTTGCAATTGAGAGCCATCAAAGATCGATGACTAATTTGGAGTGCATGGATTTATGAGCCGGATTTAAAGGATAAGTTAATAGTAATATAATTAAGAATCTCTTGGACCTTGGATGGATGGCGCCTCATAGCCTAGTCAGTAAAGGCACATTATTACCAAGCCGGAGGCGGCGAGTTCGACTCCCGGTCCGGTCGAGGGATTCTTTTAGGTTGGAAATTGTCTCGACTTCCCTGGGCATAGAGTATCATTGTGCTTGCCACACAAATATACAAACTCATGCATTGGTATTGGCATCGAAAGCTCTCAATTAATAACTGTGGAAGTGCATTTAGAACACTAAGTTAGCTCGCAATAAGCTAATATGCACTAAGCAATAAGCTTGAAATACGAATAAGAAGAAGAAGAATCTCTTGAATCAACGGTTCAAAAGTGTGACTTGTACATTCAGTTTTTTACGGTCACCATAATTTAATTGATCACCCCTCGGATTGACGTTAGACAATTATTGCCGATTTTATAGCTGAATACTTAGGAGGCTTTGATTGAAGAAATAGATCAGTGCACGGTCCCTAACCTCACTTTTTGCTCCCTATCATTTTGCTTCTGAGTAAAAGAGATAGCAACGAATGGGAGCCAAAACAAACCACCCAAAACTGTCAAAACTTACGGGTGAGAGAAGAGTGCGGCAAATCTTCGTGAACTGATCAATAACAACATTTTAAGTGACAGATGACCAGTTCCAGGCCAAATAGGATAACAACATTAACACTTTGACTCTACTTTCTCCGATTTGCATGAAACTTTGCAGAATTGTGTGTTATGGGTTATCCTTCACATTTTTACAAAAGTTCGGTTATTTTGAATCTTGTATTTTTTTTTAAATGCTTCATTGGAATTTTTCAACAAATTGTAGTACGAAAACGTTATTTCTGACCGAAATGGCGTCTGAGACAAAGTTTTTCCATACATGATGAGTCTTTTTGGGGGAAATGTACACGGTAATTTGTTTTTAGTCATTTTGAGTAAAAATTCTAAAAGTGTTAAAACGGAAATATTTCAAATAGTATATCTTCAATATTTATAATTTATTGTTTAAATAAAGCTCATGAAAATGCAAGCTTTTAGAGTATTTGAAACAATTGACGCAATTGGATTGATAAAAATCTGAGGTCATTTGGTCATATTTTAAAACATCTTGTTAACAAGCGTTTTTACGTAATTTATGCATAGATATTGATTTAGAATGTCTCAAACAGTCTTGTTAGTGGTCACCGTAGTCGACATATTTTCTGTGATAATTGACTGCCTTTGCTTCCGAAACTTGCAAAATAAGCTATCAAATTACAGTACCAAACTAAAATGTCATATGACAGGCTCTGTCATACAACACTGTTGCCGACGACCGTCACTAATGTATGTATTTTAGTTTTTCTCATAATAAGAGCTGCTGATGTTGTGCTTCTGTGAGTTCTGAAAATAGCAAGCAACGATGTCCTAGTAATAACATTTCTGATCAGAAATGGTTCAAATTGAGAAATTAGAACGAAATCACACATTTAATATGATAGTTATTTGAAAATTTTCTTATTGCTCGAATGTTGTTCTATCGTTTGTGTTGTAACCGTTGGTCCCAATCTTGTAGCTTGTTGGCTCCTCCACAAGCATCCCAATGTCATTTGTCACGCCTGCCAGTGAGAACCTAATTCCTTAATCCAAGCCTGAAGAATATCGGACAGCCTCACTGGCGGTTGCATCCTTAGCTGTCATTAGAAAAATGCGCAGTTTATTTAATGAGTACGCGTCACACAACTCTAACAGGGTGTTTGTTGACAGCGGTTGTAGCCAAGATAACACCCATCTTAGTAGTCGACAAAGAGTTCCTTGTTTGGAAGGGTTACCAACCGTAAAGAAAAGACATGTCAAACTTCGGATTTTCCCGAAGATATTTCAGAATATTTTAACCAAGGTATTAAATAACCGCTTCAAAGCATTGGTCGCTCTCATTCCTGTCCGTGACTTACAAGGTAGTCGAAGTGCGCGATAATTTAAAGTTGCTTTCTTGCAGTTAGTCGATAGTTGGACGGTCACAAAAAATTCATAAAAAGTAGTGCTAGTACAAAACGTTAATAGTACGGTCAGTTACAGTAGTAGTACGTAAAAGAAATCTATAGCCTAATTGTACGCTTTGTTAAACACAGTTAGCTATTGTTATCCGTAGTCAAAGCCGTCAGCGTCTGGTGTCAGCGTGAAGATTATAAGAAAAGGTCCATATTCGGGCCTTTTCGTTTACGTCTTCTGGTGTCATCCGGAAGGGTTGTATATATCCCACAGCAATAGCGTAGGCCGAGTGCTAGACGAAGCACATCGGTATCCTTGTAAGACGCCGATATTCCGTGACATTTTGGGAAGGAAGTTCGGTCAAATTGGATTGAAGGAGAACGTATTGCGGCCATTTTCCCAGCGCCATCTTGGAAGCTGACCAGACAACACGTAGCTGCCAACAATACAGGTCGTCTGCCTGATTAGTCCGTTGATCAACCCCCAATACGGTTGAACCGGGCCGTGACCATCACCCACTGTTCAGAAGCCACCAAGACGTTTCAATTATCACCTGCCGCCACCACCACCAATGCTAGCCACCGAAGCCATCGTTTACCATCAACACCACTGCAGAAAAAACCGCAAGTAGTACACCCATAAAGATGTCTCTCTCTCTTTAAAACAAAAGCCCCAGTATGGGCTAATAAAAACAAATTAGGCATGTAATCAGGTAGTAGTTGGCTTTCTTTCAAGCAAGCATTCCCAAAGGTAATTTATATACACCGTTCTCGTTCTGTATGATTCCGCATCCAAAAAGGGGAACCCAGGCCTCAACCTTTTAAGTCCACTATACCTTAGATATTTTTACCTGGGTGTTTTGATTGGTAACCGTTCCCTTTACCTGGAAAACTCAATTGTTGACGAAAGTATAGCGCCGGCTAAAATGAATATTCTGTTGACGTTGTGTGATAGTGCTCATTGAGTATTAGCGACCCAGTGCTCAGCATAACCTTACCCGTTTTCCCTTCTGAGCAGCTAAAAGGCTACAGTGTTATGTAAGAGAGACGACGGTAGAGCATGAGAGTACGAATAATAACAGACTGTCGCGCATGACAACGAAGTGAGTGTCGTAAAAAACGTCAATAGTCTCAACCCCTGGTCTCAAATATTGTTTTCTGATAATAAATTACATAAAACAGCATACAAGCAAAAAGTTCAAAAATTCTACTAAAAGCTCTTGTTCATCGATTTTTATCAATTTTTAAAAAAATATTTATTAAAAAATAGTAAATATCAAGCGGTAATCAACTCTGCACATCTCAATCTGTGCCGAGTACTTTATTTAACCAGTGTTTTTTTTTTTCATTTGCTGTGGGACGTCATTTATGATTATCCCCGGTCTCTTTCTAATTGTCTCATTATTTATGAACGGCCCTTATATTTCACATTGACAGTGGATGTCAAAATGACGTTTCACATTCATCTAATGATGTCCGATGTTGATTCGAATAATCGATTAACGAATTAAAAAAAACAATTATTTTTAATTCGTTATTTACATCATTCCAAGTAAGCATTAACTTCTCCAGATGATTATCACTCATCGTTTCAGTCATGTCTGGTGGAAAAATGACAGCACAGCGAATACAAAATAATCAATAGTTATTAATCGAGTAATTAAAAAATGGACATCTCTGTTTTTTTGGTGTGATTGCTTTGTTAAAAATGCACAAAATTTCAACTCTACCGAGGGGGCAGCATAGGCACAAAAACACCTCGCATACATTGGATGAAAGAGGTTACTAAAAACGAAAGTTGTTTCTTCGGACTGTTTTACCCTAAGAGGAAGAGGTGACAATTGGCTTCTTCCTCTTTTATTTCTATCTCTATCTCTATCTTTATCTATTTCTATCTCTATCTTACGCGCATGAAATCGGCCAATCAGGAGCTGGTTTGCGTTTGACAGAAAAGTGGTTCATTTTCGCCCCCGTATTGTCACATCTTCTCTTAGGTTTTACCTTAGCAATCTTCTTTGCTTTAACAGTCCCAAAAGTAGAGAGGGTCTAGTATAAGAGAGTAGCGGATTCAAAACAAACTGCCTTGGCAACCTATGCCTAGGTGATGTCTAGCAACACTGCCAATGCAATTTAGATAGGCACTGCTCGATTGGCTCTGGCTTTGACAGTTCATTTGGCTCAAAACCAGCCAGTTCGCTCCTCTCTTATACTAGACCCTCTCCAACCAAAAGCTGTGCCAAGCGTTCACGGAAAGACGAAACAACTCAAAATTAAGTCTATTGCACTCATCTTGACTCTTAAAGTACCACCCCATGCAACAATCACGCATTTCGGCGGAGCTCACATCAATTGGGTGAGGATGACTGCAACAGCCTACATTTTCTAGCATTCAGCACTGCGATGCAATTATGAAAGAGTAAGCTGTTTTGTTCTGTCGTACCTCCGTCAATTTTACCGTACTAGAAATACTCATGGGCGTAGAAAACAAAATATGTACTT